ATGTTTGGGTTAATATCTGGAGTCTCTATTCTGTTCCACTGGTCTGTGGCTCTATTCTTGTGCCAGTACCAAATTGTCTTGATTACTGTGGCTTTGTAGTAGAGCTTGAAGTTGGGGAACGAGGTCCCCCCCACCCCTTATTCTTCCTTCTCAGGATTGCTTTGGCTATTCGGGGTCTTTGGTGTTTCCATATGAATTTTTGAACTATTTGTTCCAGTTCATTGAAGAATGCTGTTGGTAATTTGATAGGAATTGCATCAAATCTGTATATTGCTTTGGGCAGGATGGCCATTTTGATGATATTAATTCTTCCTAGCCAGGAGCATGGGATAAGTTTCCATTTGTTAGTGTCCTCTTTTTGTTTATGATTTTTATTTTAAACTTTCTTTCAGGATGATTGGTGAGTTCAGTTTCATTTGGCCCTTTTTGTGGGCTTTGTGAGATTTTTTTTGGTCTGAACCAGGTTTCTTTGATGTTTCATAATTCTGTGTGCCGCCCTCTAGTGCCTAGAAGCTCTAGGCTCTGGAGCTGCTCAGCCCCTAGAGTGAGGTTGGGGATCCTAGGGGAGCAGTGCTGATGCCTGAGGGGAGGAAAGATCTGTTTCCTGATTCCCGTCTGTGGTCCCTTTTTCTAATATCAGAGCCAGTGGACCGAGCACACAGGTGTAAGCCTCTGTGCTTTGCATCTCTTGCTGTTGTAGGCGGGGCCTCCCTCTGGCTGACCCGACACCAGTACAGTGACAGCAGGTTTGTGAACTGGTGTTGGCAGGTTAGGAGGAAGGCGCAGCAGGCTGCGTGTCACAGTGAGGGGACCTCAGAGCTGAGTAGACAGCCAGGGGGATGCAGCACCTGAAGTTCCTCAAAGTTCCCAACCAGCTGGGCAGATCTCACCCAGACAACCTTGTCCAGATCTCCCCTCCCCTGTCCAAACCCCACCCCTTCAGCAGCCTTCTAGCTGCTAGGAAACCTCTCAGACTGCCTGCCTCTCTTTTGTCCCAGACCAGCCGTGTGGATCTCCATCTTCCACAAACGGCCGTAATCTCAGTCTCTCAAGCACTCCATCTGTCCCAGCTCCCCAGCCCCGCCAACCTCCAGAGCACCACACCATGTAGTTTTGTGCTCCAAAGCAGACCTCCAGGTCTGGGTGTTCAGCAGTCTTAGGCTTCCACTCCCTCCCCACTTCGTTTCTCTTCCTCTAGCCAGCCAGTGAGCTGAGGTGGGCAAAGGGCTTGGGTCCTGCTGGATCAAGGCTTTCATACGTTACCCTGTTTCATGAGCTCTGTGCTCTGTTCGTGAGGTCTGTATGGAGTCCGGTGCAGCCTTCTTTCCTCTTCCTGTTTTAGGGCTAGTTGTATTGACTATATTTTCACACCATATGTGGTTTTGGGAGGAATTCTCTGTCCCACCTCTCACACTGCCATCTTGTATCCTACTCCTGTAGTTGTAATCTTAATAACTATTGCTGAGAACATTTATATATTCATACATCAGCTTTTATTGTAATTAAAATAGGCATACCAGCTTAAAATTAGACTTAACAAAAACTTTAAGCCACAGGGCATTTTAGAAGTCCTCTACTTCAGCCATCATATTTTTTCTTTAAATCATTGTGGCATTTTGTGATTAGAGGTAGTTGATAAAATATAATTTGTTTACTTTTGTTTTACATTTAAGAAAGATTTATTGAATAAATTGAATATATATACATTTTTTTTTAGTGTATAGACTTCATATGACAAAATTACATTCTTAGGATTTGAGGATTTAGGATTTTAGGATTTGAAAATTATATACCATGGCATATTGGTGCCATTTTTGCTGTAGATGTTGCTTAGTGGAAACCTCATAGCATTAATTTCTGTATATCAATATCAGGTAGTTTGAGCTACCTTCATGTGATATTTCTCTATTCTCATTATTCATGGATTCTGTATTTGTGAATCTGCCTACTTGGTAAAATTTAGTTGAACCCTAAAATTGATACTCATGGTGCTTTTGTGGTGGTTTGCACACATGTGCAAGCTGTGAAAAAGCATTACCGAATGTGCATGTACCCAGCCAAGGTCAAACTAGGTCATGCTCTACTTTATTTCAGCTGTCAAACTGTGACCTTTTCTTGGGCTACTTAATGTCACTTTTTTTTCACATTTCTATGCTTTTGGTGATTTCACTGTTTAAAATGGCCCACAAGTATGCTTACTGAATGTTATCCCATGTTCCTAACTGCACATATTCTGTAATGTGCCTTATTTAGAAAATGCGTGTGTTAAGTAAGTTTGTTCAGGGATGTCTATTGGCCTTGGGTTGTATGTTAATTAATCAACAATATATATTGAGGAGTCTTTAAATAGAAGCATACAAAACCAGTTTTTATTGAGTGGTTGAGTGTGACCAGAGGATCACAGGAACCTAAACTCGTATTTTCCCTAGAAACAGTGTGGTTCACTTTTTGCTAATCCAGTATTTGCTGTGACTTTATAGAACATAACTACAGCAAATAATGAGAGATGACTATTTTGATTTAAATTTCAGTCTATCTTTGATTTGAAATGTCATCAAGCCAAGTTAAAATTGGTAAAATATAATGTTGTTGCTATATCCATGTTCCTTGTTTTGTCTTTTTTTCATTTTTTATTGTAGATCAATAACCTTCCCCTAGTTTTTTCCTTGACTTACCTGTTACGTCTATTGAAATCACGTTGCGAAGCTTTAAAAAAAGCAAACTATCCCTTGAGATTGATATAATTGATCTGTCGTGCATCATGGGTATTGGAATTTTTCTCAGCTCCTTGGTAATTCTAATGTGCAGCTGAAAACTCCTTTTCACTAAAGTGGAAATATTTAAGTGTGCAATTACGTGAATTGAATAAGATGTAATGCATCTCCTTGGACCAGATTTAGAGCTCAGAGAATGGTAGACCTTTTAAAGTTGATAACCTCTGAAGAGACCTTTAAGAACCAAAGTTGAGACTATGAAAATGTTTATATATGTTTTTGGCTGTCTATAATTGTAGTTCTATCAAAGAATATCCATTTCCTGTATGTATCAGAGTACAAGATATATTAACTGCCTTATCAGTTTTAGTGAAATCTCTTGTTTGGTGGCTGTTTTACAAAAGAAAGTATCTGCTACTTGAGTTCTTTGTGGAGGAGGATTAGTGAGCAGAATACATTAAGATGTGGCTGCTTGTAGTCTTCCTGGATGTATGTTACAAAGCTGAATGATTCTACAGTGCCTGTTGTGTATCTGGATTTACAGATTTCCTATCATGAATCTTTGGAGTTGAATATGAATAATTACAATCCCAAGTAGCTTGGTTTTGTTGTTTTAAATAATCTTAGGAGCCCTGTATTAAAATACAAATAGCTGTTGGAATGTTATTTTTGTTTTTAGTCTTTTAACCTTCCTTAAGACCATTATTGTTGCTAGCCCTTGTATCTCCCTTGTAAGGGCTGTGCTCAACTTTTTTTTCAGTCCATTAAAATCACTGAGCCATGTTGTTAATGGTTCTGCATCCTGAGTCTATCTACCCTGTCTTTAGGTCGAAGTGGACATTACTGCAAATGTGTACCTTCTGTCAACATCCTTTACTTGCTTGGAGTACTTAGTATTTTGATGTTTGGGTCATTTTAACAATTTCCCATCTTTTCAATGTGGTTTTTTTTTTTAATTTATCTAGCAGGTTTAGTTAGGCCTTTCACTATTTGTACTGTCTTTCTGAATTCAAATTTTACCCAAAATCCATTTTAATTCTTTAGAACTTTGTACCTGATATCTTGGAGCCACCAAACTTTGCCTCAGTCCTCACAGCTTTACTGATTTTACTTACCTTGTGTGCCCTCATAGCATGTTTTGCCTCTTTCATAGGATTTCTAAGTTCTGCCTTGTATTTGTTATAAAGGTACTTTTTCTTTTATTAGGCTTTTAACTCATTGAGAACTGTATGCTTTTGGAAGTAATTCTGAGTAAATAGAGATTCAAGTACTTTTTTCAAAATAGGTCAGAAGTGATGAAAACATTGATTTTTTTTTCTTTTTTTTTTTTGCTCTATCTCTGAGTCCTTAATGTTTATCTTTTGCTTCAGCTTCTCCATTGGCCCAATTAAGAAACCAAAGAACTGAGTTGAATAGGGAGAAAGTATATATATAGTATTTTTTAATTAGTGTAAATTTCCTGTTAATTATATGTCTCTCAACTAGATTCATATTTGTCTGGTAATTCTTTAACTTTGAAGAGACTTTTAAAAACTCAGATAAAAGTCTTGTTTCTTTTCCTGACGGTGACAAATTTTTACTCTTATAAAACAAATTGAAGCTATTCTGAAAAAATTTAGTGTTTGGTATTTTTACTTTGAACAGTTAGATATGTGTGTGTGTGTGTGTATATACACACACACACATGAGATAATCTGCTGTCTACGTTAAGCACCAGGTCCTAAGCATATTGCCTTGCTCTTTGTGTTAAAAAATGTCCCTATAACTATTAAATGTGATTCTTTTTTTTCTTTCTTAAGTTAGTGACTCTAAGTAGTATTATGTAAGTTTCCACCTCATATTGTCAAAAGAAAGTATTGAAAGAATCCCTGAAATCACAGGCTAGCACAACTGAGCACAGTGAGGAAGGAAACACATATTTGAGTTATCAAAGGGACTAACCAGAAATGTTAAGATTCATAGTTTTAAGATTTTATTTCTGCTAATGGAAGTCTTCTTTTTAAGTAGTGCTTTGCAATGCATAGGGGTATAATATTTTGTGTACTTTAAGTGGGTAAGGGGAAGAAAGAAAATTGTTCATGCTGAGTAGATTCCCTCAATATTATTTTTAACTAAAAATGGAAATTTACTTGCTTTAGATAAGATATAAAGCAATAATGTAAGTTATGAGCCTTTTTGGCTTCATAGTGGTAATTTGTTCATTTGGTTAAGTAAAAAATTTTGTACTAAAAATAGCTTTGTACAGTATTCCCCCTTTATCTGCAGTTTCACTTTTTGTGATTTCAGTTACATGCAATCCAGAAGCATATGATTCTCCTTCTGACCTATCATCTCACCACATAGGCGTGTTTATCATCTTCCATCATTAAAAAAAGAAGGGTGAGGACAGAACAGTAAGATATTTTGACGGAGAGACCACATTACTTTAATTACAGTATATTATAATTCTATTATTGTTAATCTCTTACTGTGCCTAATTTATAAATTAAACTTTTTATCATAGGTTACATGTGGAAAATAATGTATTATATGTAGTATTTGATACCCTCTGCAGCTTCAGGCAACTGGAGTCTTGGAATGTATTCTTGCATGTAGTCAGACTACTGTATTCAGTTTTTTGGAACATGTTTTAAACCATTGTAGGTATGTAGGGGTATGTATTGTTGCTCCAAAAGAAGGGGGTTCCCCGCTCTGGGCAAGTTCACTCTGAATTTGATGCGACCAAATAAAGACAGTAGAAAGTTGGGGGTTAAAAGGGGCTTATGCCCTGTTTATTCTCATGGCAGTAGGTGGAGCACTGGACTCCCATCCTTCCCAGCTATGTACAAGAAGCAAGCCCAAATGCATTCTGGAGGCTGGCTACAGCCTCTGCCCCCCAGCACTGCCTCCTTGGTGGTCCCATCTCCTGCTGTTTCTCCCTTGCACTGGGGCTCCACTGGTAGCTCTGGCAGCACCTCCTCTTGCTCCAGCATGGGACTGTGTGGCTTCTCGTTCCTGCTACTCTCTGCCTCCTAAGCTTGTCCCTTCCCTGCTTCCATCACTGTCTCCCCACCTTCCTGGCCACTAGCACCAGGAGGAACTCTGGGCAGGTCCCTCTGGTGACTGGCGGAGACCTTACCAGTTATGTCCAGGCGCTTGTATGTTTCCGCTCCACCTCTCCCCTCAGTAGGTATTCCCAGACTGATGGGTGGAGCGGGGCCTGCTGAGAGCACCCGGTAAACATCCTTCTTCCAATAGGTATGCAAACAGGCTCTTTTATGTATATACAATGGGTGATATTAAAGCCCTGTGAGAATCCTGGTTGTAAATTTCCTGTTTTTCTATATGTGTATATAGAAAAACACTGCTCACATTTGATTAAGATACATCGTCATACAAGTCTTAAAAGGTAATATAAAATGCTTAAAACTGTAATGAGTATATACATCACATAATACTACAGAAAGGTAATTGTAGGTATGTATGATTGAATTAGACTGAACAGTATGTGAGGAACCTGCATATGGCTTTAACTTGTGAAAAAAGTAGTATAATGTGGGTTCTGGAATTTTGGAACTAAAAGAAACCAGAGATAATTTAATTTTTTTTTTTCTAATAATGAAAACATGGTCCCAGTGGTTAGGTAATTTGCCTAGGTTTATAATACTGCAATATAGTAATTTATAAGAAAATGTATTTTGTTCTTCAGATGACCAAAATAAATTTCTCAGATATATTTGGTCTTTCTCCACAGTTCTGGAAAACACCTCAGCCTGAAAGGTGAAATGGGTATTTTGTTATGTTAATGAAGACTGGGACCCCACCCAAGTGTTGGGGTGGTTGCCAGGAGCACCAACCATGTGATTAGAGGGTGGGAACTTCCATCCCCCAACCCCTGGGAAGGAAGATGGCAGAGGTCTAGAGGTTGAATCAGCCAATGGCCAGTGACTTAGTCATACCTGTAATCAACCCACAATAAGAACTGTTTTGCTCTTTTGCATCCTCCTTCCCTGTTAGGAGAGTTTCCATGCCTGGGAAACCCAAAATGCTTCCACATGCTACGGAGCCAGGCAAGGATAGAAGAAGGTCCTTTATACAGGACCTTGCCCTATGTATGTTTTCATCTGGCTGTTAGCTTGTATCCTTTACTAAACTGGTAAATGTGTTTTGCTGAGTTCTTTGCTCTGTTCTAGCAAATTAAGCCTATGGGGAGGAGGTTGGTGAGAACCTTCAGTTTGAAGGTGGTGGGTCAGAAGCACAGGCAACAGCCTCAGGCTTGTGACTGGCTTCTGGAATGGAGGGTATGGAGGTCAGTCTTGTGGGGCTGAGCCCTTGGGGAATCTGGTACTCTGGGCAGATAGCATCAGCATTGAGCTGAATTCTCAGGTATCTGCTCATGTTCAAGAATTGCTTGGTGTCCTGCTTGGAACCTCCCCTACCACAATACATTGGGATTGGGTTTGGAACCCAAACAGAGTTGGTGTCAGAGTAGTGATTTGCTGAAATATAGACACTTAGGGTGTACCTGTAATTCATGAAATGCCCTCCCTAAATTCAAGTATTTGTAATTTATACTTTCAGATAATTCTACTAGACAATAGAAATGTTCTCAAAGTATCTGTAGTATCCATTTTATTTATCTAATATAAGTTCCATTACAAAACTAGATTTTATGTTCACTGAAAAATGTTGAACCCAGAGCAGTAAAAATTGCAATAACACAGCACACCTTTTTTTTTTTATTATATAACTTAACACCTAAGCCACTGCTCTAGTGACCTTGCAGGTCTGTCTCCCTGTCCCCTGACACCTCCGCCAGAGGCCTTCTTCTCCAATCAGGTCCTGGTCACTAGTCCCCCCTCCCACTGTAACCAACAGCACACACACTCATTGCTGGCAGGAACAGAGTAGCTCAGCATGGTGCCTCAGGCAGGGCCTGGGAAATAACACAGCATATCTTTAAGTATGTATATTTGTTAGAAGAATGTAACAACAACAGTGCTAATGCTCAGTAAGTTATAGATCATCAAATTTGTGTTCCTTTGGCTAAATCTACAAGAAAGAAAGATCTGTCCAACTAAGATCCACCTAGTTTTATGGCTTTAAAAGAATCTTATAAAGTCTTTTTAAGTAACAAAACTTAAAAGCTAAAAGCCCTGAAGCTGTCTTTTGGTATTAGAGAGTTGAGCGTCAGTATTTGTTCTACCAGCATGTCATGATCTGATTAACCATCATTCTGTACAACCTTTTTACCATTATGAGCTGTATATGACTGCTTCCCTCACCCAATTTTACGTTATTCTTTAGGATTAGTTTTCAAGAATGGTGCTACTTAATCAAAGAATCCATATTTTCTTGCTCTTCCAGTATTTGATGACAGTGAATGAATTTGGTCATGCAAAAGGAGCTCACCAAAAATGATAGAGAACTACTTTGCTTTGCGGGGGTGCCTTTAAAATGAGAAGCTAGCAAGTAAAACCACAAGAAGTACAGCAGAAATAAGAGAGCAAGTTTGGTATAACAAAATCGAAGGGAAAAGCTCTTAAATGAAAGATTTGTGAGTGATAAGTCAGTGAAATAAGACCCTCCGATCTAATAAGCAAGTGGCATTGAACTTTGAGAAGCTTGCAGGATTGAAGCTTAAGTGAATGAATCAGAAGACAAGTAGAGGCACTGGGGTATTGGCTGAGTCCAAGGAGTTGGACCGTGAAAAAAAAGGAAGTAATGGACAGAAGCAGATAAAGGATGACTTTTTGTTTTGAAACAAGGAGAGACCCAATTGGTGACTGAAAAGAAGGGGTTACAGAATGGGAAAAAGTGAAGTTACTGAAAACCAGATTATTAATTGTGAGAACAAGATTCTGGATGGCTTGATAAGGAATGAGGTCCAGAGAGATGAGAGGATTTTTGAGAAGGGGAGAGAATCTCCTTTCTCTGGGACTTAAGTGAAGGACCAGAGATTGAGTATAGGAACAGTGTGATTTTTTGTTTTTTCTCTTTTAGTTACTGGCTGAAAATAAATTGCTGGTTTACATTATTTTGCATATTTAGCATTTTTGCTGAAAAGAAACTTCAATAAATTTTGGATAACACTTGGAATAAATTTCGTAAATTTCAGCTGAGAGGAAAAACTGAAGTTTGTTATTTAAAAATATTCCTCAAAAGCAAATGGAGGTGATACATATTTTCATTTGCTTTCTAATAAAGTTGACTGGGGAAAACATAATTTTAGGATAATCATCTTTTATTTCCTTTCATTTCTCATCTTTTTTATTGTCATCTATGAATTTTAACACTGCCTAAGTATTTATTTGAAACTTTACACTTCTAAAAATATGTTTACCTGCTGGCACCTTTCATTCTGTCTGAATCATAACAATCTGAGGTAGATATTTAATTATGCAAAGAGTATTAAAATACCAGATTCTTTATCCAAAGTTGCATATGTCATATACTCCTGGGAAGCGGGTATTGAGTTTTCCAATTAAATACAGCCTTTATAACACCTAATTACACTATTATAGTTTATGACCTGCTTATCTTTTGAACAAATAAGTAACAAATTCTATTATCCTAAGTCCTAATTCTTGTCTCTTGTGATAAAGCTGCAGTTTGATGAGTAGATCAAACTTTCTATGCTTTGAGGACAATACCAGACATTCAGCATATTTATTAAAGGCTTGATATGTGTCAGACTCTCCATTTTCCAGTATATAACGTGTTTTTTGCTTTATAACATTTTGTATGCTGAGCGACTTATTAATACTTACATCTGGATATAGCCCAGCCTAGCGAAATCTGAGGTAAAAAATTCTGACGTATACCTTTACAAAGATAAAAACCCACATTTAAATAGTCTTCCACATCAAATAAAGAAAAGAGGGTTCCCCTTTCTCCACATTCTCACCAGCATTTGTTGTTCTTAGACATTAGTCATTTTTTATAAATGTTTTCTATAAGTGCTAAAATAATTTTTTTTCTCTAGTTATTATGGCAGTGTTTTAAAAATGCCCTATAGTCCAGTGAGCAGGTAGGGAACTATTAAGTACTCTAGATTTTTTTCAGGAAGAGAAAGAGATTTAATGCAGTTAATTGGTTGCAAGGAAGTGATTAGGACTAGAACTGCAAAAGGGAGAAGAAGGTTGGAGAGGAACAGTGTGGTTGTTACCCAAAGATCTGGTGGTTGCTACTACCTGCAGCTGGAGCCAGAGAGTCTATAATTGTTACTAAGCTGCTTGGTGGCACCCTGGGTTACTGCTGCTGGTAAAACTACATTCCTGAAACTGAGCAATAACTCAGGAGATCAACTTATGATTTTTCCAGAGTATACACCTGCCTGCACTTGACTTCATAGGAGATACTTTCAGTTGGAGGTGTTATCGGAACCAGAAAAATAGGGA